TGGTTCACTTACCTATCCCTGAGCCCATCACTGTGGCCAGGGGGATAAGGTACTCTGACTCAGCCCAAGTTTTATGCCTATTTCAGAGTGGCGGTTGTGGAACAAACTGTATGTGCAGTTTGTTATTACAAGTGAGGGGGAGGTGTGTTGGGGAAATAGCAGCAATTACTAGCTCAAGGAAAGGGAATTTGATCATTTAGGATAATCCTGTAGTGAATCCCTGATCTTTTACATTGCTTAAAGCCAGAGCTCTATTTTACATTTGTGGCTTTCTCATTTTTTCAGAAATATTAAAGAAAAAAAAAAAAAGCTACCCGGTTACTTTATATACCTTCTTTCTGTATATAGTCTATCTTTAGGTGAATTATCTGTTGTGTATCATCTTAGTGGGGAGCAGGGGACTTATACTTGGCCAGTTGAACAAGTTCTGTTCCAAGATACGAACTGCAAAGTAAGTGATAGAAGAATATGTGGCAACAGTTGATGGGCCAGACGGTTTGTCCTTGCTGGTGATTCTTGTCAATTATTTTAGCCTGGTTCCGGTTCTCTAGTTTCCTGTTGGTTCAGTGAGTTTCATATCTTTCCAGGAAAGTCTCTTTTTGCTAATAATGGCCAGAGTCAGTTTCCATTGCTCTCAAGCAATAACCTTGTTTTCATTGGGTTTACATAAGAACTGCTTTCCTCAGGAAACTTGTTCTGGAATCTTTGACAAATAGAGAAATCACAAATACATCTTTTCTTGCTTGCCTGATCTGTTGCTTTCCCTTGATAATAGAGGCTGACATCAAATGAAGCCTAGAAGTTGGACTAGACCTTTTGTGCCTAATATGATATTACTAGTCACATATAGCTGTTTAAATCTAATTTTAAATTAGTTTAAATTATGGACATCTGGGTGGCTCAGTTGGTTTAGTGTCTGACTCTTGATTTTGACTTAGGTCATGATCTCATGGTTTGGGAGTTTAAGCTCCACATTGGGTTGCGCCGACAGTGTATTCTCTGTCTCTCTCCCTCCCACTCTCTCCCTCTGCCCCTCTCCCACTCTCTCTCTTTCTTTAAAATAAGTGAACATGTAAAAACTAAAAGTAAAAAAATTAATAATTTAGTTCTTCAGTTGTACTTTTTGAAATATGCAATAGTCACATGTAACTAGTGGCTATCATATTGGATGGTACAAATTATAGAACATTTCCATCATTAAAAAAATCAGATAGTGCCATTGGACTGTAAATTCCTTAAGGATAGGGATTCTGTCTTTGTTATTCTCTGGTGTATCTACAACACTTAGGACTAGGCTTAGCATTTGTAGGTACTCAGTAAATATTTGTTGAATGTTGAAATGACACACATGAGCTGCCTGCCGCAGAAAACCTAGGCAATAATCATCATAATTAGCTACTTGTTCTTGGAAGAGAATTTGGAATGACTCCATCTCACTGTTATTCTTATTGTTTCTGTTTCAACTTTTCTACAGCTCCGTTCTCTGTTGTACTTTGGCCCTGTGGTCTGTCTACAATTTCTGCTTCCATTTTTTCCATAATTACATTAAAAATATAAGGTACTTGATCTCATAGTTGCTTATTCAACAACGTATTCATCCTTCATTTTTTGATTTCTCCTCATGACCAATCCATTAAATCTCTCCTTTCAATAATTTTTGCTGTAGCCTCTGAAATCTATCCCATTACCTATATACATATATATGTATATATATGTATATATATTGCAGTCTCCTTATTTTATTTTAGTTTTTATTTATTTTTGAAGGAGAGAGAGAGCATGAGCAGAGGAAGAGCAGAGAGAGAGGGAAACAGAATCCAAAGCAGGCTTCAGGCTCTGAGCTGTCAGCAGGAGCCTGACGCAGGGCTCGAACTCACAAACTGTGAGATCATGACTTGAGCCAAAGTCGGACACCCAACTGACTAAGCCACACAGGCGCCCCACAGTCTCCACATTTTAAAAAAATATACCCTCACTGAAACCTGACCTTGTCCTGGCAACCCTTTTAAGTGGAATTACTCTTCCCTTCGTCTGTCCTGCAACTAGGGAACAAGAAGGAAAATCCATATTTGTGAACCCACTTTTGCTTCCAGACAATTGTTTGACGAACTGGGTTAAAATGGTTTTGCTTTTGGTCTTCACTGTGTCCATCTTATCCCTATTTATTTCTTAGTGACCAACCTATAAGATGTTCCCCAACAGTCAATGAAGAGCTTGACTTCTGTCTAGCTCAATTTGTTACTATTTTCTATCCTTTGTCATTGTTCTTTGTGACGACACCATTCATATTGTTGATCCACCTTAGCCTTATAGTTTATCTTAACTCTTATATTCTTTATCTTTATTCAACTTTAGCAGCCCCTACACTTAGCCATTTCTTGGACCTTGTCATCCCTTTGAACTGATATTTCAAATACCTATTTTTTTCCTCTTATCTACTTCAATCTTACTGAAGGCATTAAAATTTGATAGTCAAACTGATAGCAAAATTAGTTCTTATACTTTTTTTTTTCTTCCACTCTGTTAACCTGGCTCCCTTGCCTCCCATTTAGCTTGAAATCTATTTGTCCACTGTTTACCTATGCTCTCACTTGTGCCTGAGCAAAAGCTCCTAGATGTAAATTCTTTAAACTTCTCACTGAGAATTTCTATCCTCATCTATTCTCTCCTCCCTTTCTATTTTAATGAAGATATCCCTTCTCCCTTTACGTCTCAAGTGTTCTGATTCCCATCTCCTTTGCTTCCTCTAGAGTCTTGCTTCACTGATTATCTTCTTCATCTATGTCTTTAATTTCTTTACCTCAGACTCTTATTTTGCCTTCAAGGTCCAGCTCAAATTGCATTTCTCTTATGTAGCCTTTACTGATACCCTGAAGGAAGTTAGTTAATTGCACTCTCTTCTGTATTTTTTAGTTCTACTTTAAGACTTGATTTCTTTTGATTTGTTGTGACCTACCTTAAATAGTCAAAACTTTCTCATCAAAAGAGGTACTGTACTTTATTCCTAAGTCTGCAGCATTGCATTTTGAAATAATTTGTACTGAACTCTTTTGTCACTGAGGTTAAGACCACTGAATGTATTTCTAGACCCTAATCATCTCTATTAATTTTTATTTATGTTAAATTCCATAATCCCTTACAATCCTAATTGTAATGATCTTAAATTGTGGACTAATTTTCTTCTAAAAAACTGCCATATGGGTTGTAGATTCTAATACTGCACAACTCTAGCGAAGTGAACTGAAGAAGACTTTGTCATCTCTTACAGTCTACCATAATGATGTTCTTACTTTTCATGTTTTCATGATAGTCTTTGGCTTCGATTTTTGTTTGTAGGGCATTGTTTCCTTTCATACCTACGTAACTTATTTAGAAAGCATTCAGACCACATTGCTTTCTTAACAGGATCTTGTTTCTTCCTGTTACCAGGTGTATTCAAAATCTTGACCAGAGCTAAGATTTACTTGGGACCTAACTTTTTAACTCTGGACCTGAGCTAAGACCCACAGTGTTTTCTCCTCTGTTTCTGTCTTCATGATTTTTAGAAAGAAATCTTTATTAACTCTGTGACCTAGAAGCACCAAGTTAATGACATTCATAAACATTTAAGGGTGAGATGCAGAGAAAGTTTCGGAGAGTAAAAATGTAGCTGAAATTATGAAACAAGAGTATGACTGGTACTGTTAAAGGAGCAAAGTAAGAGCAAGACTCCCCTTTCCTTTAGATCCGTTGTTTCTAGCATTTGTATGTAAATATCTTAGGAAGCATTGGGTCTTACGGTTTCTTCCGTGTCATATTGTCCAGTCACCTTACACATTTAAGTGTCTAACCCAGGATTTGGGTTGGTTCATTCATTCCATCAACAAATATTTATTGAATTCTTGTTAACATTTCAAGCACAGCCTTAGGCTCTTGAGAATGTCGTCTTTCCAATAAGCAGTTCTACCTGGGTTGATAAGACATGCTAATAATGCCAAAGTGTCAATAATAAATGCCAAATGAATTATATTTGAGGTAAATGTTTGAGGGATTTTAAAAAGGGAGCAGTCGAGGGCATATCCTATCACATATTGGCCTATCCTATTAGCATAAAGTCTTTCTTATGAGGTTAGTTATTTGGTTACCAGAGATGCTCTAGGTTTTAAGGTTCTGGTTAAAAATGTATCATTCCTTTGAAAAGGACACACATTGTATAAGCATTCATCTCAGGGATGAAAACTCATAATATATTTTATAGAATACACTATGGTGTCCTGTACTAGATAGTTTTCTTTTAAATTTTCAACTTAAATCAGTAAAATTGCAGCATAATAAGTAGGAGAAGAACCCTTACTTGGGTTAGAAGACCTGGGTCCTGTCTTCATTTGGCTGCTTGGTAGCTATGTGATTTGGGCCTGAGCCTCAATCTCTTTATCTATAAAATTGAAATAATAAAGATGACTTTGCTTACTTTCATGGAGTTATTGTGAGAAATTACTGCAGTTAAAAACAGGGAGACTTAATAGGCATTAGAGATACATTTAGGAGCTCCAAGTCTGGTAAGTGAAAGTGAGGTAGCAGTGTGGGTGAAAGCATTGTGTAAGCTGTGTGATCACAGACATGGCTTTGCCCGCACTAGACCACTTTCTGATGCCTTAGTGACACGTTATGCACTCTCCCACCAAAGGCTGTTCAGGTTGTTCCCCGCGTTTATCAAAATCATACCCATCAAATTTATATCTCCATGTATGTAGTCTCGTCTTCCTAGACCTACTTGATTTCTCATCTTCTCTATGCCAGAAGTTTGTAGATTTTTCCACAGTAAAAGCAGAAATTTGATACATCTTAGTTACATGTGAACACACCTTCCTGAAGTCAAAATCTTTATCAAACTTTTACCTGCCACTTAACAAGCACAACACCTGGTGTCAATACGGGTACTCTAAAATGATTGTCTAATTCATTGAAATATAGGAACTATGGTTTCTTAATAAATGTGTTTGTTGGGTTGTCATTTTTAGGTTAAAACTTCAGCAACAAATTGTGAATATTGAAAATGCAGAGAAAGAAAAAAATGAAAATGCTGACCTGAAACAGGTAATGATTTTAGCAAACATTTTGCTTTTATTTTTTTATTTTTATTTTTAATGTTTTATTTATTTTTGAGACAGAGAGAGACAGAGTGTGAGCAGGGGAGGGGCAGAGAGAGAGCAAGGCACAGAATCCGAAGCGGGCTCCAGACTCTGAGCTGTCAGCACAGAGCCCGACGTGGGGCTTGAACTCCCAAACTGGGGGATCTCTGACCTGAGCCAAAGTTGGACGCTTGACTGAGCCACCCAGGCGTGCCTTGCTTTTATTTTTTTAAGTGTTTCTTTAAATCTGTATTTTGAATGTGTATGTGTGTAAGTTTTGGGGTTTTTTATTGAAGTATAATTAACCTACAGTGTTCAGTTAGTTTCAGGTGTACAGTAAAATCATTCAACAATTCTGTACATTACTCAGTGCTCATCACTCTAAGTATACTCTTAATCCTCTTTATCTGTTTCACCCATCTCCCCTCTGGCAACTACCAATTTGTTCTCTGTATTTAAGCGTCTGGTTTTCTCTTTTTTTTCTTTGTTTTGTTTCTCAAATTCCACATATGAGTGAAATTGTATGATATTTGTCTTTCTCTGACTTATTTCACTTAGCCTGTACCTTCTGGATTCATCCATGTTGTTGCAGATGGCAAGATTTTGTCCAAAATTTTTTATGGTTGAGTAATAGTCCATCTTGTGTATATACCACACCTTCTTTATCCATTCATCTGTGGATGGGTACTTGGGTTGTTTGTGTGTTGTTTGAATCTTTTGGAATTTTCTATATCAGTATTCTGAAAATATAATCATTACATTGATATGTGTTGGTGAGGTTGATAGATGAAGATAAAATTGTTTAAACCTCTTTAAGCTCTAGTTAGTAAGCTGGTTTTGCTAACTGCTGTTTTTCTTGAGGTCTTTATATGCTGTCACCCATAATGAATTTTTTTTAAATTATAGTTTAAGGAACACTACTTTAATATTCTGAATTTAAAAATTGATTAGAAAGATCATCTAGATTTTAAATTCCTTGTGGGATTGACTTGTAACTTTATATTGCTTATTCTATGAACTATTTCTTATTATATCCCTGTGAAATGTGAAATCTAAGAGTTGTATTTATGGAAGGAAATTTATATTTTAATTGAAGTTATTTGGGTTTGAGAAAAACTTATATGGGCAAAACATGGAAGAGTGTTCTTTCCTGGATTCCATTTTCTTTTTTGTTTAAAGTTATGAAGTAAAGAGGATTCCATTTTTAGGATTTATCCTTGCAAGCTAGCTGGCATTGCTTTGCATATGCAATTGTGGTTTCTAAGTCTCACCTAGGAGGACATAGTGTTTGATACTCTGAGAGAAGTGATCTAGTATCATTGGCATTGGGCTGTCATTTGTTAGCTGTGGAGAAATATTAAGTTCTTTGAGGGTTACTTGTTCAATCAATTGTATTACAGATTTAATTTTTATAACTCCAATTAAATAAAGACTGAGTAGCTCTTCCTGGAGAAATTTATTCTAAAGTAGAAATCTGAGACATATCATTTTACTTTATTTGGTCAGTTGTTCTTTGGTTGTATACAGTCCTGTCTTATTTGGCTTTGCTACCACCAGGAAGGGCTGGAATTATTTAATTTATTGCCTAAAGAATCTGGTTTCTTTGGACTTTTGAGTCTCTTGATTCTGTGCTTCCAGCTCCTCTGAGAGAATGGCTAAGAGGTAAGAAAAGGTGAAAGAAAATGAAGATTTGTTAATTTGCAAAATGAGGGTGCCTGGGTGTCTCAGTCAGTTAAGTGACCAACTCTTGATTTAGGCTCAGATCATGATCTCAGGGTCATGAGATTGAGCCCCACGTCAGGCTCTGCATTGAGCGTGGAGCCTGCTTGGAATATTCTCTCTCTCTCTCTCTCTGCTCCTCCCCACTTGTGTGTGCACTCTTGTGCTCCCCACCCCGCCCCCAAAAAAGAGTAAAATTGCTCGTGGAGGAAGTAGGTATAACTGTGTTCCAAATGAAGATTATTTGGATATAACTAAAAATCACCATTTATCTTCCTAGCCTGTTAATTTTTAACTAGATAATTAGTTACTTTTCATGAGAAAATGTACTCCCAGATAAAAGTACATTAGGATGGAGAAAAAGCATGAGTGACATTTCATGGTTTGATAAATGGCTCTAGAGGCCAAGGAAGCCTTGCCATTCATTAGGTTTCTTAGAATATCTCTCTTCCACCCAACACTGGGTATATGGAATGCTTAGAAACCAGTTAAAAACAATGTAAGAGTGATCCTTTCTGTATTAATGATTCAAAACTATTTAGAAAGCAGAACTCCCGGAAGAGTTGCTGATCATAGGGTACATGGGAATGGGAGAACAGATTCCCTTAGCAGCTTTCCCAGCTGATGAGCTTTTAAAGCCTGTTCTTTCCTAGGAGGTAGAGGAAGTTCAGTGGAGACTTTCTAATGGTTGCATTCTCCTTTCTCACTTCCCTACTCTCCCCTTCTTACAATCCTTTTCCCTACTCCCAGTAGCTCATCTGGTCTGCTTATTTTGGGAGGAAGAGGAGAGGACTTAGTGGATTGAGGAATAGGGTTCTTGATAGACTCTGGTTATATTAGGCAATGATACTATGCTATTGGATCCTAATGCTGCTGCGGTTTATCATTTAATTTCCGGGTGTCCTTAGGACAAATCAGTTGGGTGGAGGATTTGTGAAGGAAGATGCTTACAATCCTGTGCCTCTCCCATACGTTCGTTATTGCATACGTGGCTGTATGTTTCTCTTTCTTCTCTTTTAAGCAAATCAGTAGTTTGCAGATCCAAGTGACCTCACTTGGACAGTCAGAGAATGAGTTGCTGAATTCAAACCAAATACTGAAGGAAATGGTAGAGAGGTTAAAACAGGAATGCCGAAATTTAAGAAGCCAAGCTGAGAAAGCACAACTAGAAGTTGAAAGGTAGAGTTTGCTCTTTTTTATGTACAAACTATTTCTTCTTTCTGCTATGTTATATGTAGTTCTTTTAATGACGATTCCAATGTTGAATGTGTTTTGGGAGCTAGTTACAAATACCCTTTGACAGTATACAATGGCATTAGGTAATGTACTTTCTATTTCTAGAGAATGACCTTTATGGACTCTTGAATTGTTTAAAAAAGGGGGCATTTAGGGCAGAAGACTTTTTTTTTTTTTTTTAACAAATTCTGCCTGTCCACCGTGTTCTTTTGAAAACCGTCAAAGAAACCCTTCTTTATTCATTGAGTAAACCAATACATTAATACATTTTTTACTCCAAATATCTAAATTATTCTTCTGAATGCCAGAGAACAGAAAGAAATTTTGTGATATGCAAAACTTACTTCCTAGAATTAGAACTATAATACCTTGGATTTTCCCTTTGAAAAGCTCATTTATTTGTTTATATTTTTTGGTCTTGAAATTTATTACTAGTAGACAGTGTATATAGTAAACTGGCAAGGAGATGATTTTTGTGATGTTCAAGATCTTACATTCTCTGGAAAATTTTGTTTAGATATGATAGAAAACTGCTATTTTGTATTTGCTTTGTCTTCATGTTAGTATTATATTTTTGTTTGAATCTACAAAACATAATTCTTTTCAGATTTTCTCTTCTGAAGGCTACTTTGCCAAATAAAATTTTCTCCCTTCAGTGTCTCATTATTTCATATTTTAAGACTGTCTGTGGTTTCACACATGCAGTTGAATTTCAGGAAAAGAAAGTAAGCAAGTTATTTGTCCATAATGTGTTGTGACATTCCATAGGGTCCAAATTATTTTGCAAAAAAATGGAAATTTATATCTTGGAACCTGAAGTGTTTGATTAAAATGCACTTAAAATTCTAAGACAAAAAGCATTCTAATGACAACTTAGCTAGCAAATTTAAGTAATTGATCATTGGTTTCTGAATGTTATTCATAAGATTACATGGCAGAAAATAGCTGGATGACGTGTCAGTTGAACATGATTTTGGTCCCAGCTAAAACACTTAAAGTCTATATGACCTTAGGCACATAATCTGATGTCTCAGGATTTATAAATCTCATTTGTACTGCCTATATATAGTAATGATACTAAAAATTATGCAAAGTGTGCAGAAGAGCTTTAAAGATGTAGGTTGTTTTGGTACCATAAAATACATGAATTTTAGTCTAGTCTGAAAACATCCTGCGTTAAGACTTGATACCTAGGTTGATTTTTAACCAGCTTTATTAGACCCAGTTTTTTTTTTTTTAATGTTTCAAGTTTTTATTTAAATTCTAGTTAGTTAACATATAGTGTAATGTTAGTCTCAGGTGTAGAATTTAGTGACTTATCACAACAAGTGTCCTCCTTAGTACCCATCACCCATGCTAGACCTAGTTTTTATAGCATGGTGGTTATCATGATTCAAAGCTGGTTATCAAGTGTTGGTCTTGCTGTTAACTAGGTGTAAGTCTTTAAGCAAATTCATTAACTGCTCTCTGGGCTTTAGTTTTCTCATCTATAAAATGGAGATGATAGTAGTCCCTAACTCAAGGGGTTATTGTGAAGAATAGATGACATAGTACACACACTGTTCTAAGCACAGCATCTGGCTCAGAAGAAGTACTCAGTAATGGTACTGAGTACCATTTATTCAGTACTCAGAGAAGTACTCAGTATAAGCAAATACTTGGCCATGCAAGAGTGCCTGTAGTTGGATAATTAAGGATGTGGTGAAGCAGGTACAGCGTTTGATTCTACTTGGGATAATGTCTATTTAATCTTAAGAGTTACAGTCTGTGTTTTGCATACATTCTTTTGACAGGACTTTGGAAGAGAAACAGATACAGTGGTTGGAAGAAAAGCATAAATTTCAGGAACGTCTCACTGACAGAGAAGAAAAGTATAATCAAGCTAAAGAAAAACTGCAGCGAGCTGCAATTGCCCAGAAAAAGGCAAGTGGTTCTTATTAAAGTGATTTCTATAGAGTAAAACATAATTAACTATTCTGGGAGAATAAAATGTAATTAAAACTGAGATTTTAGTGTATGTTTAATTTGATATTTAAACATGACATTTTGCTGTCAACCTTGCAGGGATAAATTGGGAAAATGCAAACTGTTCAACAGGTTTATTTCTAAATTTTGTGCTCAAGTCGGTTTTTCAGAGCTGTCATGCATTTTCCCACCGTGTTTTTTCATTGATAAAGTTTCTAGACCAGCCCTTATAAGTCTTAGTTATTAACTCATTCTGCACTTAAATTTACAGGATGATTAGGTTTGTTTCAACTGTGCTTAACTAATACTTGTAACATTTTTTTTTTGGCTAAAATGATTTTTTATTTCCAACTCAGGAATATAGGAGTGGGTATCTCCTTGCCCTAGCAGGAGAAACTAGGCTTCCCCCTGACTTCTGTAGTAGCCATGATAGTTACCGCAGCTGTGATCTTATTTTTTTGAAATGTTTATTTGTTTATTTTGAGAAAGAGAGAGAAATCACGGGGCAGGAGAAAGAGAGGGAGAGAGCGTATCCCAGGATCTCACAAACTGTGAGATCATGACCTGAGCTGAAATCAAGAGTCAGATGCTTAACCCTCTGAGCCACCCAGATGCCCCAGCTGTGGTCTTTTTTAAGTTTCACCTTTGTAGGCATATTTTCTCCATATGTTTTCTTGGAAATAGTTCAGAGCGTCATGGATATAATGTAATCAGATGATTCATCTAAGTCAGTGGTTTACAACTTCTTTCCTACTTCAGCAAACCCAAGGAATGTAGCATGGCCCCATCAGTAACCATGACTCATGTGGCAGTGATTCAGTACTTATTTTCAACAAGATTTGGTGTGTGCATGGAGCTGGGGGTGAGGAGTAGCTTTTATAAAAGTACCGTAAATGATTTACTATGTCCCCATATGATAAGTTCATTTAGCAATGGCATTTGTTTTGGGAAGATGAGAACATCTGAGATGAGAGTAGGGCACTTCTCATAGGCACACTAGTATCTTAATGTCTGTGGGTTTATTGGAAAGGTTAGCTTTTCCTATTTGCGTAAGAGAAGAGAACTGTATATCATTTACATATTCTGAATTTGGAAACCAAAGACACAGTTCCTAGACACCTATTTATGGTTATTGGATATAACTGCCAAATGCATCCTGATAGTTGGAGTGACAGTACGAGAAGTCTCCAAGTCACTGCTTTCCCACTTTCTTGATTTCTGAATATTGCTTTTCTCTTCTCAATGCTGGAAGTAGTGTAACATTGAGATTAGAAAAGGGAATCTCAGTGTTTTATACTTGAATATAAACACTGTCTTTGTTTGTATTTCCTCCTATGTGTGCTGCTTCTCTTTCTTTCTGGCCATACAAGTACTGAGCGGTGCATGGGTATTGGTGGAATTTCAGTGACGTGTTTTATGGCTTGGGATGATCTTAGAAATTTCACTTATGGTTCCTAGTACTGTTTGAAGCCTAGAAGCATCTGAAGCCAGATTTTAGCCAAAAATCAGTAGAAATTATAACAACTGATTTTATCTTTCACAGAGAAATGTTTATGTTAAGGTTTTAGAGTTATGCATCATAGAAACCAGATTCTAATTACTATTGAGGTTAGTTTGGGTTGACTTCTGTTGGAGCAAAAGTGACATCCAGTGGTGAGAGAGATTACCAGCTAATCATAGATACTAGTAAGAAGGGAAGAGGTGATAATTTAAGAAATCTGCAAAACAGCCTTTCATCAGTATTGTGACCTGGGGTGCATTTTTTCCTATTGAAATACCTGCCAAATGATGGGTGTGAACATCGGGAATATCCATGTCACTTTTGAAAATGTGACCTGTGGGTTATGATTTGCAGTCATAGGAAATTGTTAAGCTCAATTCAGTGAGTAGTTATGACCCAGAGCTGTCTTACCGCGTGGGACACTTCCCTAGAGGCTTACAACTTTAAATCAATTAAAGTAGAAAAATAGACAATATATGTGGCATAGAAATACTATAAAAAATCTGTGAGTACATATAATTTTAGGGCTCAGGAATTTTAGCATTCAGATAGTTTTTACAGATTAGGAAACTGAAGTGGTAGGTAGCCAAGATTACTTGACTGGTAAGATTCAGTGCCATGACTAAAATTTACATCTTTCTGTTCTTAATCCTTTGTTCTCTCTGCGCTGTTACTCTTTTTTTTAATTTCCCAATTTACCGAATACTTGACTGCTTTTCTCTTCATTGTACCCATATGAGTCTTACTTCTCGTGGCAGAATAATCGCTATGAAGTGAATTTCTTTAAGTCAGACTCTTTCCATTCTAGTTAAAGATAATGCTTCTATATGAAAAATTTGGCTCTAGGATTATATAAATATAATTCATAGGAGTGCAATAGACTTGTTAGGTTCTTTAAGTGACAAAAATCATAACTTGCTTATGTTGTAAGACTTAAAGCAAGTCACAAAATATTAACTCTAGAGCAGAAATCATAATCCTTTAGAGTTGCTTTCCTGTGAGTGGTTCTTATAACTGGAGAGTGGCAGCTTTATTTTTTTCCCCAGGCTAGAAAAGATGCCTCATTGCCGTCTGAGTGTGTTTCTTTACAGCTCCAACCTCCTATGCACAAAGCTTATGTCATTTCTGTTAAGTCTTTTTAGATAGAATCTTTGTGTAATGATATTTTGCTTTGTTTATTTGTTTGGAAGAACTTGACCAGGTATCTTGAGTTAGGATGCCCTTCTGTGATTGTTGGCTTCTGTGTATATTTTTCTCTATACATTGTTGAAGTGTGAGTAAGAAGAGAGATCTCTTGGTTGGAGCACAGTGAGTGTCCTTTTCCTTTTAAGGCACTTGAGATGACAACTTGTTATTTTTATTCTAAGGTACATCTCTCTGAAATTATTCTTGGTTAAATTATGGTTATGAATGTTTTTTGGAAAAGACATGAACCGTAGTCTTAAACTTCTAAAGTGTCTATTGAATATGTTGGGTTGGCCTAGCATTCTATTATACACTTAGAGGAAAATAGAAGCCATGATTAATTCCTGCCTTTGATGACCATATAATCTAGTTGGAGAAGATAACATGCAATACCTAAACAATACTAATAGTCACTCCCAGGTGATCTGTATAGACCCGAAAGTTTGAGAAGAGCGTCAGAGCGAAGAAAGCCTGAAGACAGGGAGGCCAGTTAGGAAGCTCTTGTGATAAAATGAGGTAAGAAGTGTGGAATTTTGGCTTGTGATAGAGGAATGAAGATGAAAGGTGACTCTTTAGAATTATTCTGAAGGAGAAGATTTACAGGATATGGTGCTAAAGAAGAAAGGGAAAATATGACATGTTTTAGCTGTGAGAGTATACAAATGGAGTTGTCATAATGGAGTGAAGAACACGTGTCAGTTGAGTAGAAAGAGAAGGTATATTCTACTAAACACGTGTCAGATCTGAAGTATGACAGTGCATCCCTGGACTCGTGTCCTAGACTCTTAGGTGAAGGTGCTGTGTAAATAACTAGAAATAATGGAATGTACACCATGGGGAGCAGTAATTCAGATTAGAGATAAAGAATTAGACACTTGAGATTTTGAAGATGATTGAGGAATAAAAGGACTAAGAATCGAATTGACTTAGAAGAACTGGATTTAGTAGAGGAATGGTCATAGAGGTGGAAGCTACAGTGTGGTGTTGTAGAAGCCACTGGAAAAGAAAGGTATCCAAGATAAATGGTTGGTTAGTATGATTACTGAAGAGTTCGTTGAATTTGGCTAGAAGGTGGTAAAAGGGGAATCCCAGGTTGGGTTCTTGTATTAGTGTTCTTTTGATTCTTCTATTGCTCCTTTGTGTTGGAATATTTTTAACACCAAGGCATCCACTTGGCAATCCTGTGATGGCATTGGACTGCTAAAGTCAAAATTGAAATCATTCCTTACAGCCAGTGTCTCCTCTGAACTCTTCATCTCTTTCAGTAGCATGTCATTCTTCCTATCACTTAGGCTTCAAACCTCTGATTGACCCCGAGGGCTCCCTTCCCTCAGATGTAGGCAATCACTCTATTGGTTTCTGAGGGCTGCTGTAACAAATTACTGCAAATTATGTGGCTTAAAACATCAGAGAGGTATTGTCTCATAATCCTAGAGGTCAGAAGTCTAAAATCAAGATGCCCCTAGGACCATGCTCCTTCCAAAGGCTGGATCTGTTCCACACTTCTCTCCTAGCTGCTGGTGGATGCTAGCAATCCCTGGTGTTCTTTGGGTTGTAGGCAAATCACTTCATTCTGTGCCTGTCTTCATCTGGTGTTCTCCCTGTGTGTCTTGTCTCTGAGTCCACATTTCCCTCTTTTCATAAGTATACCAGTCATATTGGATTTAGGGGTACTTAATCCAGTATAACCTCATCTGAACTTGATTATATCTGTAAAGACCCTTTTTCTAGGTAAGGTCACTCTGGAGTGTTTTACCAACAGCCAATTTTCTAATTCTTTGGACACCAGCTAGGTGGGTGTCCAGCGGTGCAGTTTAATTCTGACACTACATCAGATTCCACAAGTTAAAGGGTTCAGTCTCACAAGACTGCCCGATGTCGGATGCCAGGTCCCAGGCCACTTGTACTTCTGACCAACTGGCTATCAATTGGGGGTTCCCATGACCCCCTCCTCAGGTTTGATGATTTTCTGGAATAGCTCACTGAACCCAGGAAAACATTTTACTTACATTTACTAGTTTATTATAAAGGACACAGCTCAAGAACAGCCAAATGGAAGAGGTGCATAGGGCAAGGTATGGAAGGGGAAGCATGGAAACTCCATGCCCTCTGAATGTACCATCCTCCTAGCTAATCAATGTGATCACTAATCTGAGTACTTCTGGGTCTTGTTGAAAAGTTTTTATAGAGATCCATCTCCAGTCCCCCTTTCCTCTGAGAAGTGGAGAATGGGGAGTAGGGGGATGCGGCTGAAAGTTCCCACTCTTTTATC